AGTAATATATGCTGTGAGTGTAAAATATGGGTCGCTGTAATACAAGCTATACCTAAACAGACTGAACCCCATTAGGAATATGCGCGACTGACTGATCTTGTGTGACAGTGTTAAGCTCTGGAACTATATTCCTCACCCAGTTTTCAGAGAGAACTTTCTGGATGTTCAGGGATATTACAGGAACAAGACTCAGTATTTTAGATGGTTTTTATGGAATATATTTATAAATGGCACTCAGTACGCATTAGAAAACTGACAATAGGTTAACTTTACATTTTGGCACATGCATTAAATGTGTAGTAAACATTAAAGCTGGTTATTTTTGTTAGTGTTATGAGAATTGTGATTCCTGTAAAGCTAATACATTGATTAGACAGCAATGTAACTAAATTTTTGTTCTTAGTATCACCATAAAGTGAAAGAGGTCACTGATTACCTCCTTCTTCAGGAAATGAACTATTGCTGTTAGTAACAAGAGTGTGAAATAATACTAGGTAAAAAAACCAAACACCACAACAATGCACAACCCTAGGCCAGTGACTGTTACAGAAGAACACTAATTCAGGAAAAGATTGGAGATCTGTGCCTAGAAGGTCTGGTATGATACCAATTGTGAAAAAGATAAAAGGCTTAACATCAAAGTAAGATCTCTTTGATGGCTGTATCTTCTAAGAAAAAAAATATACTAGTACAGGCAACTTGCAAAGCATGTCTTCATGAACAGATTAATCCATTTAACTAAAATTAGAATTCAGCTATGCAGCATTTTTGCCAGTGTAATTTTTTTCATAAATTAGATGCAGAAGTAAACTGCTTCAGTGCAAAGAATCACATTTTAACTATACATTTATTAAGCAAGCTAATGGCCGGTGAATACATGCATGTTTATCAAAACACTGTTAAAATAATTAGTTATAAATAACATCCCCCCCCCCCAATTAAGTCCTTTTACGTAGTAAGCTGTCATACCTGTTAGCAAAATAAGGCATAATTTGCAACACACTAATTTTACTTGCAGTGGTATGGATATAAATAACGATGTATTGATCCAATCTCAGTCCACTATTGGCTTTTGGTAAAAGTGAGGATTTTTTGAAAAGCAGGTAGCATAACGGTTCAGATGTCTTAGAAGGATGTCTTCTGAGAGAAAGAAGCTAGAACTAAGTTTAAGAAAAGCTATTGAGGAATACAGTTTCCATGATGCATTGAATTTGATTTTCAGTTCAGATTTTATATTCTCTGTCTAATAATAAAAAAGATTGTGTATGAAAAGCTTTATATACTCTGCCAGCAACTGGAATTCTGTCACTTCCTGTAAATATGAAAATTATTTTTTGACACAAATGCACTTATATGGGTAGTGACTGTATGCCAATAAAAAGAGCATACGATCTCTGTATTTAACTGTTTTGGAAATCTTACTAAACAGCATACTCAGCACACCAGTAATTAAAAATACATCGGTACTATGTCACCTTCACATACATTAGACTTCTTCGTGTTTTAGTAACTCCCTTATGAATGTTTTTCAATGGTGAAGGCTAAAATAACATCCAGTCTTTAATTCCATACATCCAAAGTGATCTTAAATTAAAACATGTGCAAATATATACAAAAATGGGAATTTATCATTTGGGAAAAGTCTAAATCGGGTCGTTGCTCTGTTCTTTTACATTTTAAAATAAACACTGCAAAAATGTTTCAGTGCACTGCAGGAGAGCGAGACACAAAATTTTGAATGTCATGCAGCAACGTGACATTCGGAGGCAGTTCCCTTGAAAATTTTTTTAAATAAATAAGGGATGGTGTGGAATCAAGTGAAAAATGTTTTCCATGCAATTGTTTTGAGGATGAATACAACAAAACCAATGTGAATATGTACCCCAAGGTACCCAGTACGCCATCTGAGAACAGGAATTGGCTGTGGCCGTGGATAGGCCAAAAAAGAGTAGTTGGGTAAAATATTCTAACTTTAAAGATTGAGCAACTACACACTTCTTGAAATGTGGTGTAATAAGCGGTTTGGAAAAAAAATCTGTTGTTGTGTCTTTGAGGCCCTGTCTTGTGGGAGAGGTTAGAGTCTAGGCTGCTGCTTTTATCTGCTGTTATCTTAAAGTCTGTGTTTAATAATAGAAAAATGGAATGGCTACCTCTAGTTTAAAACCCGCTTATCCTGTTAAGTAAAATACTTGCCAGTGTGCATGTATTTAATTGCTTGTTACGAAATTTTTAAAAATCACAAATATAAAAGCAATGGCAACGTAAGGATTGGCTTGCTCTCTCCAGATTTTGCGTTTGCTTTGCTAAATAAATGAGAAATAATAAATTAATTTGCATAAGTAATATGCAGAAGCACACGTTGAAGGAAGGCATAGTTTTGTGTCTTAAGGAGACCGTGTCTTAGCATAAAGGATTTCTTTGAGCTCTGTTTTTTCAGTAGCTCTGAGGTGTTACTGACAACTCCTAAGTCCACTGCACCGTGAGCTTTGCTGGATGGAAGGTAGGCGAGTAGAGAAGCGGTGCACATACACACTAAGCAGGTTTGCCATATATTTAATTGCTGCCGAGACAAGCTTCTTCTGAGACCTTTCTGTAGTCCTTATTTAGCTTTTTTTAAAAACAAACAAACAAAACTTTAACTACTAGATGAATTGTACTGCATTTACAGGAGACCTGTAAATGGGCAGATTTCAAGCAGCGAGGGTTGTAGCACTGAGCAAGGTCAGTTAGTAAAACAGACTGTAAAACAGATAGAGGGAAGAGCGAGTCAAACCGTGATGAGTGATACTCCTCCAAACCTCCTGCTGCCTGGAGGGTGCTCCTGCCCCTGGCTTTGTGCAGGGAACCCGGCCGTTGCCGTCACCTGCCTGGAAAGCGGGGGAGTGCTGCCAGCTGCTGCTTCCATGGCTTACCCCTGCCTTGCTCCGCAGTGCTCCCTTCCAGCCAGCTTTGGTTTTCGTGGGACTTTCTCATGAGACCTGCAGCTCAATAAAGTGTCAGAAAATGATTATTTTTCAAAACTGGCTTAATTCTTTACCATTTAAGCGTGTTAAACTAGCTCACCATGGCAATCTGAAAATGCCAAAGCCCGACAAGGGGAAAGAGGAGGGGAAGAAGAGCTCTCCGTGTCTGTCAGCTCCGAACTGCCAGAGCTGTTCGCAGCGGCACATGGATTCAAACCCCTCCACTGAACCTCATTTCGGGGCCCTGGGCAGCAATGCCTGGGCGAGGGAGTGGGGGAAAGGCAGCCTTGTCCCTCCTGGGCTGCAGCCCGGACTTTGTCTGCAAACCGTGGCATGGCAGGCTCTGCAGCAGGCAGCAAAACAGCTTGGGTGGTTCCCAAGAGGAAGCGCTCAGGAGTTTTGTCTCGAGCCCGGCCATCTTGGGGGCCCAGGAGCTCTGCTCCACGTCACAGATGTGTAGTGCAGGCTGTTGGGTATCACCTCTCTCCCTGAAGTGAGGAGTAACGTCATTTGGGCCCTCCCCTGCAAGTCCAGTGTGTCACTTGGTAAGAAAAGAGACCAAAGGCTGATAGCGAATCACGGTGTCCTCCGAACAAGCCTCTGCTAAAGGAGGGTTTTGTTCCAACACATGCAAGGATCAGGTCCACACGCAGGAGTAAGGGGACATAAATTTAAATAAAATCACTGTGTTAATTTTCAGTGGAGCTTCCAGGTGCAGCCATGGGACAACAGGGGTTGGCATTCACACAGGCCGGGTCTTGCAGGCAGAAAGGGCGCCGAGCCTGCTGTATCAGCAGTGTTGCAATGCAAAACGCATCGGGACACTGCAGTGCTTTACTGTTGTGAAGGGAAAGGTAAATAAGGCAGGTTTTCTTGCAGCTTGTACCACATCTTCTTAAGCGGGAATCTTTTTTTTTAAAAGTTTTTTTTTAAAAGAACATGCTTGAGTAGGTGCTTGTAATGGTCTGTCCAGCGTTTTGTTTTGCTTCCCTTACATTTTATAAAATACTCATAAAATCTTACTAATAAATACTATAAATACCTATAAATAGATTTTAT